CTAAACCTCATGAATTTCTTTACTTGAAGTTGAGCAAAGTAGATGACCCCGAACTCTGGCTTTTCAAGAATCATATAGACAGGATAAGCATCAATATCTTCTAATTCTTGATTTGGTCTTTTCAGATTGATGATCCGTTGATTGTCTTCAAGGCCCATTTGAACGTCAATGACCATCGCCAGCTTCACATGACAAAGCATAAATCTCTTGATAGCCTCAAGAGCAATCAGTTCTCCTTCCTTTCTGTTCGTCATGTTTCTGAGTTCAAAGTACATGTATTCAAGATCATCCAAATATAAGTTTGAAAAATCTGCTCCGCTGAACCTCCAAATCTGTCCATCCTGCCTAGTAACTGTAAATACAGGATACCAGATTCTTAAAAGCTTTTGAGCATCAATTTTTTTAATCGTTACAATCCGATGCTTGGTACGCACTTCACTTATTGGTAGGCACTTGGCTTTCAAAAGATGTTTGTATTCCACGCATATTCTTTGGTCTGCTTATGAATACCAAGAATTTTGTCACCGCTCAGAACTTCTCGATGACGGATGAAGATTCCAAAGTAGACATCTTCTAGGTATGGCTCTCGGATCCTTTCACGATCATATCCAGGAAAATTCGCTCGGATATGAAATGGCACATAACTTCTGGTGAAGATTTCGGTAGAATCAACTTGTTCTCTTTGAGCARGGATGTCTRACACATCAGGTAAAACTGCAGTGGAAGATTCTGGAACATTCTGACGGTCACTTTGAACAGGAAAGACTGGATCTTCATCATCTATATCAGCTTCAAAATCAAAATAGATCCTAGTCGACTCGTCAATGTTGTCAATGTCTTCTCCAAAATCTTGCTCTCCACCCAGAGTAGTAGAGAACACATCGTTGAAACCTACGTTGGCAGACAAGTCCAATAACATCCTTGTTCCTACCGTGGAGTCCGCCAGCCTTTCAACCATTGGCTCGATCGTAGGACTTGTCTCCATTTCTTCATCTTCAATTACAATGGCCTCAATTACTCTTTCCCAAACAGATTCCGAGGCAGAGGTTTCAGCAATAACATCCTGAGTTGATGGCTCCTCTCCAACCCTTGCACCTTGCTCAGATGACTCGGCCAATCTCTGTCTCTTTCTCTCCCCCTCATGACTATCTGGATATTCTTTATCTGCTAATACACCTGTTCCGATGGTGTATCTACAACAATTTTGGGGTACGCTTACTCTA